ACCCCGAGGTGCCGCGGCGTGCCTTCAGATCGGCGTCTGCCCTCGGCGTCCCTCCCCTGGCATGAGGCAGGCGCTGGAGGGATGTCTTCTCTGGCCGGCCTGGCGGCAGAGTCGAGGGTTTCTCCTGGTGCGGCTCGGCCTCTGGTTCCCGGGGCTCAAGGAGGCGTTGCCGCCGCCCCCCGTAACAACATCGGGGTCTGGGGTGACTCGTCGGGGGGGGCTCTGACTCCTTCCTCCTCTCTGTCCCGGGGGAGCAGGCGGAGACCCCCACGCCCGTGTGCCTGCCTCGGACGGGCCGGTGAGAACGTGCCTGGTCCAGGGCGGAAGTGCTGGGTCGCGTTGTCGGCCTCCTTTGCTCTCGGAGAGGCGAGGGCAGCCTGGGAGCGTGCCGTCTGTGGCCTGTCCCGGTGGGGCCGGGGCCGGCGGTCCCTGCAGGGCCCCTGGGAAATGTGGCTGCGTGTGGGGGCCTGGCGGGCAGGGGAGGCGGGTCGGTGCCGTGTGGCGTCTGGCCTGGTGGCGGGGCCTCGAGAAACCCCGCGGCCCTGCTGTCCCTGCCACCCCTCCGGGGCCTCCCAGTGTGGGAGCCCCTGACCTGCCACCGGCAGTGCTGTGAGGGTGAGGCGGTTCCCGGAGGCTGGGGTCCCATCAGCAGTCGGTGTGGCGGGGCACCGGCCAGGCTTGGGGCGGAATGTTGCCCTGTGCAAGCGAGGGAGGGGGGTGGCGGTCAGAGGCCTGCGGAGCTGGGGTGGGGGACCTGTGTGGTCACACCAGCACTCCGCAGGGGACACGGTGACGTGGGGGGTGGGGGCTGCCGAGTCGCGGGTGTGGAGACTGGCCTTGGTGTGGTTTCCGGACCCGAGTGTGCCGTTCCCACCCCGGCCTGCGGGGGGCACAGGCGCCCGGAGCCCGGGCCCTGCCCCCACGGCCGACTCTGTCCCGCTCCCTCAGCCGCACCCTGACGGCCGTGCACGACGCCATCCTGGAGGACCTGGTGTTCCCGAGCGAGATCGTGGGCAAGCGGATCCGCGTGAAGCTGGATGGCAGCCGGCTCATCAAGGTGCACCTGGACAAAGCCCAGCAGAACAACGTGGAACACAAGGTGCGGGCTGCCGGGGCGCCGCAGAGTGGGCTCCCCAAAACTGGGTGCGGGTGGGGGGTGGTTTCCACGATCAGGGCATGGGAAGTACAGTGGTTCCCGGGTTTGACTTTTAGTGAGGCCGTGGGGGGTTGGATGTGGGGAGAGCTGTCACTCTCCTTTCCTGGGACAGTGCCCCACAGTGGGCCAACCGTGGGGTCCCCTGGGGCTCCGTCGGCGTGGCCCAGAGGGGCGCAGGGGCACAGGTGAGGGGCGCCGTACGGCACCTTGTCCCACCGCGCCTGGGGGCCGCGGAGCGCATGCCCTGCGGGGCCTGTCCGCTCGCTGCTGCTGGCTGAGGGGAGGGACGCCACACGGGCTCGTCGTCACGGAGCCGCGAGGCTGCGGGGCGGGCACCTGGGTGAGCTCTGTGACCTGTGACGGCTTCTTTTTCTTCCTCGTAGGTGGAAACTTTCTCTGGTGTCTATAAGAAGCTCACGGGCAAGGACGTTAATTTTGAATTCCCAGAGTTTCAGTTGTGAGCAAAAATGACTAAATAAAACACCGTTTTCAGTATTCTGTTCAGGCGTGTCTTTCGAAGTTCTGGAGCCGTGGGTCCCGGCTGTTCACAGGATCGCCCGTCTCCCGCACGGCCAGACCCTCGGGACAGAGCTCCTGTGGCCTGTCCACGAGGTCGGAGGCACGCGAGGGGCACCCCCAGGGCCCTGGGGTGGCCGCGGTCCTCGGAGTGTGGCCTCTGAGCCAGCGGCAGCTGCGGTGCCTGGGGCCGCCTTGGACGGGGCAGCACGTGGGCCCCGCCCCCAACCTGCCAGTCAGACTCAGGTGTCCCAGTTGCTGATGGACTCGGTGTTCAGCCACAGCGCCCCGTGCTGGGTGCTGTCCCCTGAGTCTTGGTGCCACCTGGGCTGCGGCCACAAGTGCCCTCCTGGGGAGGCAGGGACCCCAGCCCACACGCTGGGGTGGGAGGCCGAGGGCTTGTCGGTCACGCGGTGTCCCAGCCGGAGGCCCGGTGAGGCCCCGCCCACTGCACAAGGGGCCCGGACGCCCAGACTTACCCGCTATCTCTGAGAAATGTAAACACTGACTGGGAGGCAGCCAAATCCCCTCCACCCACTGGAAGCAGCCAGGCAGGGGGTCGGAGTTCACAAGGGGAAAGGCCGTTCTCAGGGGCCGGGAGGACTGTTCCCGAGGGGAGGGGAGGAAGGGGCGGGCGGACCCAGCGACTCCCAATGACTGGCGCTTGGGTGGCACGGTGCCGGCAGAGGCGAGCTTTGGTGTGAGGTGGCTCCCACGGACGGTCCAGCTGAAGCAGACCAGGCGGTGAAGCACTGTCACCCAGCCCAGCGTCCGAGAGGGACTCTCAGGTCATCAGCACTTTGTAAAAGCAAAAGGTGCCCTGGCCGTTGTGGCTCAGTGGGTTGAGCTGCAAACTAAAGGGTGGCTGGTTCGATTCCCAGTCAGGGCACATGCCTGGGCTGCGGGCCAGGTCCCCAGCAGGGGGTGCACAAGAGGCAACCACACATTGATGTTTCTCTCCCTCTCTCCCCCTCTGTCTAAAAATACATCATCCCTGTCTGGCATAGCTCAGTGGATTGAGCGCGGGCTGGGAACCAAAGTGTCCCAGGTTCGAGTCCCAGCCAGGGTACATTCCTGGGTTGCAGGCCATAACCCCCAGCAACCGCACATTGATGTCTCTCTCTCTCTCCCTCTCCCTCTCTCTCTCTCTCTCTCTCTCTCTCTCTCTCTCTCTCTCTCTCTCTCTCCCCCCGCTCCCTTCCCTCCCTAAAATAAATGAATAAAATCTAAAAAAAAAAAATAATAAATAAATAAATAAAAATACATCAATAAATAAAATCTTTAAAAAATATAAAACCAAATGGTAAGTGTCCACCTCGACTGTGAGACAAGACAGAGTGGGAGGAGGGGGGCGTGGGCTGCGCCGCACACCGCCAGCAGCCCCTCCCCCAGCCCGAGCCCCCCAGAGCTAAGGCAGGGTCTGCTGCAGTGACGGGCAGCAGCGGACCCAGCGCTGCGCCCCCGGAGGGCCGGGTGCACCCGGGGGCCCTCAGCCTTCCACGGGAGAGGAACGCGGACCCAGGCTGCCCGTGGACGGTCCCCGAGGACGTTCGGTTGCCTGACATCAGCAGCCACAGAGGGACAAACACTGCGATGTGTATTGCACCAGGCACATGCTCTCACGTGCACACACACACACACACACACACACACACACACACACACTTAAACCAGCTGGGGCTAGTGCGCGGTTCCGTGCAGCTCCACTGTGCGCACAGTTCCACACCGGGTACGCCGACTCCTCCCACTTCAGTTTCCACAACAGCCCCAGCTAGTCTGGCTCCGTCTTTTAACAGAAATCTAGCGTAGCCTTGTCCACACCTGCAGACCCCTGCTGGGGTTCCAGCGGGGACCCAGCTGAGCTTGCAGGGCAGTCTGGGGGAGTCGAAGCCTCGCTGGCTGGCCGGGACGTCCAGCACGATGTCCAGGGCGCAGAGGGTGCCCTGGCCTGGTGCCGGCCCTCAGGGCAGACGCCCAGCCCTCCGCCGGAGCCTGATGTGGGCGGAGGGGTGGAGGGCTTCCCCGGTGGTGCTGAGAAGCTGTCGACACACGCACTGTCCAGGACGGAGGTGTGCAGCGGGATGCGCCTGCTCTGAGGTGCCTGCCCCGCAGCCTCCGTTCCGTGGAGGAACGGTAAGAAGAAAACTTCACCCTGGCCAGTGTGGCTCAGTGGATTGAGCACCGGCCTGTGACCCAAAAGGTCATGGGTTCGATGCCCAGTCAGGCACATGGCTGGGCTGCGGGGCAGGTCTCTGGTTGGGGGCGTGAGAGGCGACCACACATGGATGTTTCTCTCCCCCTCCCACCCCCGCTCTCCGACAGGGAGTAAAAAGGGAAACAGAACCACGGGGTTGGCTCTCCTCGCTCTCCCGGTGTCCCACGGCACGCTCGCTCCCGCGGTCACGCCCTGGTACCTGCTGTGCCTGGGAGTCCGCGCCTCATTTTAAAAAGGGTTCGTTTGTTTCAGAGAGAGGGGAAGGGAGGAAGGGAGAGAGAGAGGGAGAGAAACACAGATGTGTGAGAGAGACACTGGCCGGTCCCCCGTCACACACACACCCAGGCGGGGGCCGAACCCACAGCCCAGGCCCATGTGCTGACCAGGAGTTGAACCGGTGACCCTTGTCTCTGGGACGACACTCAACCAACTGCACCACCCCAGCCTGGACGTAGCTTTCATTTTATTTTGAAAAAATTTCGTTTATTTCGGAGAGAGGGAAGGGAGGGAGAACAAGAGGGAGAGACACATCCAGGTGAGAGAGAAACATCAACCAGTTGCCTCTCGCACACCCTCACCTGGGGACCGGCCTGCAACCCAGGCGCGTGCCATGACTGGGAACCGAACCTGCGACCTTTCAGTTCACAGGCCGGCGCTCAACCCGCTGAGCCACACCAGCCGGGGCAGGTACCTTTCTCAAAGACGCCTCCACCCCATTGGGTAGGCCGGATCCGCCCAGCCCACCACAAACACGTGTTTGGGGCATGCGCTGCCTTCAAATGAAAGTTCGGGAGTGGAGTGAGTTTGGGGTCCCCCGGGGTCCGGCCTGGACAAGCAGGGCACGTGTCGGGGGTTGTTGTCACCCTTCTTTGTGCTGAACTGGTTTCCTGACACTCACGCTGGTCTGTGCCAAAAACAGAACGAGAAGAACAGCGGAGATACGGAGATACCGGGGTGCTTGGGTGGAGGGTTGGGCCTCTCTCTGCGGGGGCCCACGCCCCTAGCCCCGATCCCCCGGCAGCCTGTTCCCACGCTCGGAGCGCCGCCCCCTCCCCCAGCCGTCCAGCGATGGGCTCAAACAGGAAGCTGTTTGCAGATAACACCGGGGCGCCCGGCCTGATTTGCTGGGCGGTGGGACGGCCCCGGGCTCACTGGCCTCTGCGCGGGGCTCCCGGGCCCAGTGTCCTCACGGCCCCCGACAGTCAGGACACCCCTTCGCCTCCCGTGCGCCTCAGGTAGGGAACACCCCCCACCATCACCGCCCTGTGACTCTGTCCCCTTGGAGACCAGGGTGGTGGGGGGAGACCAGAGCCAGGAAGGCAGATTCCAGAAGGTCCCAGGGAGGCCTGGGTGGCAGGGGACGGGACTCTGTGCTGGGATCCGGGCCAGAGGCTGGAGTCCTGCAGGACCCGGAGTCCCAGGCTCCATCAGCTCACCAGCCCCCGGGGCAGTCACCTCCACAGGGACCCGAGTCCGGTGACAAGGCGGTGGTGTCCCATCTCATAGATTCGCAGAGGTGAGGCCGTTTCTTCCCTCCCTCCCGGCCCAGGGCGGCCGTGCTGCTGCTGTAGGGGCTGCTCGGAGCAGGCAGCCTGGGTGGGGTGGGGAGCGGCGGCCGGTGATCTCTGCCCAGCGACAGGTGGCTCAGTCACGGGGGGATGTCATCCTGGTGGGATGTCATGGGGATTGGGGGACAGGCGGGTCATCTTACACGGAGTGGGGGTCACCTGCAGCCCCAGACGGGGGACCACCGAAGTGTCGGGGCGCGGCCCTTCCCGCCTGACACCTGGAAGTGAGGCGTGGGTTCTGAGCGTGTGCGTGCCGTCTGGGCCGTCCCACGTGCAGAGCGACTGTCCGCTGGGTGGGACACTGCCTGCCCACACACAGGGGCTTTGGAAACTCGGTGTCCCGGAGACGAGGGCAGGCAGGGTCTGGGTGAAGCTGCGCAGTCTCCGTCAAAAGACGAGGAAAACGTGTGCCGTTGTGGGGGCGGCGAGCTGCTCTTGCTGCAGCCGGGTGCCCGGTCGGGGGCCGGCTGGCGGTGGGCTCCGGCGGCGGGGCTGCCCCCCAGCCGCCGAGGGGGTCTGCCGAGGACCGGGGCTGCTGCGGAGACGGGACGCCGAGACAGAGTCCTCGTTTCCCTGTTGATTTCTCCTTCCCCTGGGGTCCCACCGAGAATCCTGATGGAGTTCCTGCCTCCCCAGCCGCCCCTCCCCGCCACCACGGGAGAGTTGTTGCTCCAGAGCCCAGGGAGGGCTGTGGCTTCTCCGTTTACAAAACGGGATTCCTCTTCCCGGCTGGCAGGAGGGAGCTCCCGCCAGGGTCGCCCCCACCCCGCCTTACTCCCGGCCACAGACATGGAGCTGCCCAGGGCAGGGCAGCGGGGTCAGGGGGTGGGGGAAGGACGGGCCGGGGGTCCCGGCCGCAGCTTGTCCTGCTGCCCTCCCTTCCCAGGACGTGGCTGCAGGTCTTCCTCGAAGCTGCGCTGCCCCCGCCGTCCCCAGGTGAGCACTGCTCCTGCTCACCTGGCTGTGCTCGCCGGAGAGGAGAGCACACGTCGGCTCCCGACACCTGAGACGCTGCCCGGTCGCATCCCAGGGGCCAAGTCCGGCTGGTGTCGCTGGCCGGAGCACAGCGGTCAGTGTGGCCAGGGAGTGCCCGCGGTGATGTTGCCCGAGGCGTCACCACCTCCTGAGGTGCGGCCATCGCTCCTGGGAGGGCAGCTGAGCGGCGCGGAGTTTGTGGCGGCCTCTGCTGTCCCCGTGCAGAGCCCACCCTCGTCCCTTTGTGCTCGGTTCTGGGACCTTCCCGCTGCCCCGGGACGTGGGCGCTGTTCTCCGTGTCTGCCGCCTGCCGGCTTCCCGCGCTTCCATTCGTCACAGCGCGTGGCCACGGGCACACGGAGCGGCCACCGAGGGGGCACTGGCCTCGAGCCGGGTCCCAGGCAGAGCCCCGGGTGCCTCAGTCACGGGAGGGGTCCTGCCTCCGCCTCAAGGGGACCAGGCGGACTGAGGAGATGCCATTCGGCCAGGGCGCTGGTCCGGCAGGCGCCCCTCTGTCCCCAGCCGTGGTGCCAACGCTGAGGTCCCACATCGTGAGAGGGGGAGGTGTCAGATGCTCCCCCAGGGACCCAGGGACCACTGCCCTGGCCCTTCCAACTCCACCCGTCCCACCCTGAGAGTCAGGGAGCTGTAGCCCCCTGCGTGGCTGAGCCCGGGCACCCTGTGGCGGGGAAGGGGTGCCCCAGAAAGTCCGCACGCTGTGACGTGCTGTCCTGCGAGACTCAAGCCTGCTGGGTGGCCCGCTGATCGGGGACTCGCGTCTGTGTGGTGACACTGCTGCGGAGTCAGCAAGAGACAGGGGCACTCCCCGTCCGGGGGCGCGGCACCGTGTGCGCGAGGGGCCGGGTGGGACGGATGGGCCAGGGGTGTCGGCACACGGCAGGACCCGGCTCGGGAGGCTGGCCGTGCAGGCCGCACGGCTCCCTGACCTGTGAACACGCCTTCGGGTGAGCGAAGGGCCCGTCGTGACAACCTGGGAGAGAGAGCCGTGCGCCAGCTCCCGGGACGGGGACGAGAGAGCCCCACACGGCAGGAGTCCCCCGGGGCAGCCGCCCCGCTGCGGCCCCGCGGGAGGAGGGGGGCCGGGGCCGCCAGCCCGGCGGGGGCCTGCACACTGTCACTGGCGGCCGGCTGCTGGGAACTGCCGTCACTGTTTATCCCTTCCCTCCCGCAGGGGTCAGTGCCCTGCCCGCGCTCACCATGAAGAGGGCTCTGGCCCTGATCGGCCTGGCCTTCCTGTCGCTGGCCCCGCCGGCGGACCCGCAGCAGACGGTGGACGACGCCTGCTCCGTGCAGATCCTGGTCCCAGGCCTCAAAGGTAAGCCCGCCCGTTCCCGGGGTCCTGGGCCTGGCCCCCCGCCATGCAGAGGGGAGCTTGCGTTTGCCACCTGTGCGTAGACATTCGGGGTCTCGGGGAGCAGGTGCGGAGCGGCGCACTGGGGCCAGACTGGGAGCCAGCTAGAGGGGTAACGGGACAGAGGGAAGCGGTCCCTGGCGGAGCCCGCCCCCCCCCCGCCCCCTTGCGCTGATATTCAGGGCTCACTGTTCTCCATGCTCATAGGAGGTGGGGGAGGGGCAGAGTCCCGAGAGCAGGGGGGGAGGAGAGCCGAGCGCCCTCTAGGGGCGGTCGGGGTGGGAGAGGGTCAGGAGGAGGAGGGGGGCGGGGAGAGGGCAGCCCGGCCGTGGCGGCACAGAGTGAGCTTCTCCTTGCTGACCCTCCACCCGTCACACTGGGCCCTGCGCTCGGAGCGGGTCCTGAACGCACGTGACTTCTCCCGCAGGGGACGCTGGCGAGAAGGGGGACAAAGGCGCGCCCGGCCGGCCTGGCAGAGTGGGCCCCACGGGAGAGAAAGGTACCTTCTCAGCCTCTCGGAGCTCTGCACGCGAGGGCGCGGGAGAGGCCGGGTGGGGGGCGCGAGGGCACCGGGCACCCGCGTGGGTCTCGGGAGGCCAGCCGGCCTAGCGGAGAGGTAGGGCGCCGAGGCCTCTCTGAGCAGTGCTCCTGGGCGCCGGCCCGCGGGCTGCAGTGGGCCCTGGGCGGTGTGCGCGGTCGGCTGCGTGCACGGGAGCTCACGCTGCGCGACCCTCACCGGCCTCACCTGCAGGACGGGGTCCTGCGAGTGTCACACGTGCAAGTGCAATGTGAGAGTGTGCAAATAACCAACCAACCAACCATTCCTGAGGGCAGCGGAGGGACACACACAGATGTGGGCGGGCGCGCAGTCCTGCGTGGCGCCAACCGCCGTGGGTGCGGGTTGTCACGGCCAGGCGCGTTCGGGCGGTCCCCCGGGGCGGCGCTGAGCTCCGGGCACCGGGCTGGACGTGCAGGCTGCAGGCGGGCGGCCCAGCAGCCGGGAGGCGCCCAGTGAATGGCGCTGCTGAGGGCGCGGCGGGGTGGACCGCTCCGCTGCGAGGTTCGATCAAGCCATCGGGACCCTCCGCGGAAGTGCGTGGTCGGCACCTTCACTCTCCGCGCGAGGGCAGCGCTGAGCTCACCCGGCTCGGCGCCCCGCCGGCCCCGCCGCGCCGCGGTCAGGCTGTGCCCAGCCTCCCGAACCACCGCGACGGCCCCAGTAAAGGCCGTTGAACGTGAGCTTCTAAACCCTCGCCCGGGTTCTGACCTTTCTGCGGGGGGCTGCATGCTCCTCTTGAAGCGTGCGGTGCGGCCCGTGACAGCCGTGCACGCGCGTGGACGCTCCTCGCGGTCACGACCCAGCGCGTCCCCGTCGCGGCCGGCCCCCACCAGCCCCCGGCGCCGACGTTCCCGTCTCGCTTTTCTCTCTGCTCCTCAACGTGAACTGAAAAATCAGAACGTGGGCCAGTCCTGCGGCCCACAGTTTGGAACGCGCAGAAATGGCGCACGGGGAGCCGTCTCCTTCCCGATGCCCCGCCACAGCCTCGGCGGGGCTGCCCATCCTCGCGAGGTCCCGGGGCGCGGCTGCGCGTGGGCGTCCCGTCCCTCCGCTCGTGAGAGTGCAGCGCCCGCGTCGTCCGCACGCCGCCCTGGGCAGCGAGCCGTGGCCCTTGGAAATCCATCCGCGGGGACCGGGCCTCCCTCTTCCCCTCCCCCACGCCGGGGAGTCCGCGCGCGCCGTCCGCCTGGCCCGCTGGTCCCGGGGACTCGCACGTCCCTGGGGCTGCGCTGCCGTGAACAGTCGCGTGCTGGTCACTTTTTGAAGTGTGAGCGCAGCTGGAAGACACGCCTCGCCGTGCCACGGCGTGGGTGAAGTTCCCGTGACGCCTCCCCAGGGGCCGAGGCGGCGTGCGGCCCCACAGCCGCTGTGTGCGCAGGCCGCCCCTTGTGCGCTGGCCGCGCGGCGACGCACCGCCGCTGGGGGTCCCAGTGCCTCTGTCTTTCCAAGGAAGCAGAGTCGTTTGTTGGGGTGTCTGAAAGGGATTCGTCGCTCTCCTGTCTCTGTCCTCCGCCGGGTCGTGTGTGTCTCCATCTGTCTAAAGGCCCTTCTTGGGTTCTTTCCCTTCTGGGCGCATCCCACGCTTCTGTTTTCTGCTGGTGTCTCTGACTCTTCCCCTAGAGCTGCCAGCCGGGGGCTCTGGCCCGAGAGGGTGTCGGGACAGATGCCGCCGTGCTGGCCCCGCGCTGCCCCGCCCAGCGGGCGGCCACTGTCCTTCTGGCCCGTCTGTTTGCCGAGAGAACCAGCGACAGCGGCAGCGGCAGGGCCTGGACCAGAGGCCCCTGGGGATGGGCGGAGGGCGGGCTCCTGTCCACCTGCGGGAGGAGACCACTTGGCCGCTCCATAGAGTTCCGGTCACGACAGCTGAAAGTCCAGCAGCGCGCAGGGCGGCCGCGCCGGGTGTCACGTGCAGACGCGTCTCCGCTTGCCCGTCCCTGTGCCGGGCGCTCAGCTGTCTCTCAGCACCAGTCTCCTTTCCCGCTGGAAGAGGCAGCGCAGGCCCACGGCGGCCGCAGACATTCTCACTCCTCCGAGAGCCGAGGACGGACTCTGGACTCTCCCCTCCCGGGCACAGAGGTGGGCTGACTCGCGGGGTCCCCCAGTCGCTGAATTCCTCCTAAATTGAGCTCGATCAGGGGCTGAGCGCCGGGGGACGCAGCCTGGAGCCCCCGGAGCCCAGAGGGGCGATGGCTGTGTGGACGCAGAGGGCGCACCGAGGCAGAGAGTCACACGTGGGGCTGCCGCCGCTGGGCGAGGTGAAGGCCTGCGGGGCTCCCCGACGCACGCCCGGCAGACGCCACGCTTCCCGCCCGAAGACGAGCTCTGGCCCCACGGACTCACGGCGTCCGTGTGGCTGGTCCGAGAGCGAGGCTCCATGCAGAGGCCCCTGGACTGGCGGCCGCAGGCCCACGCTCGCCCACAGCCCAGAGCCTCGCTCCACAGTGACGGACGGCCAGCCTCGCAGCCCCTGCGGTCCTGGGCCGCTCCCGCCTGTCCTCCCTCCTCCTCACCCGCAGGGGCGCCCCTCCTCGGGGGCTGCAGCCGTGTCCACGCGTCGTCAGAGCAGGCCTCCCTCGTCTGGGAAGAGGGGGGGCTGCGGGCAGACGGCTCCGTGGCCGCAGGGACCGCCTTGCAGTGTGGAGCCGACAGTGTCGGTGGCGGCAGTCACAGGGGCTGGACATCCCCACCTTTGCAATGTGCCCCCCACACAGACTGTCCCCTCAGAGACAGCAGCCGGCACCATGGTGGGGCTCGGCGTGGGCAGCTGGTACGGGGGGGCGGGGGGTGCCGTGGGAGGGCCTCCCGGCCGCTCAGCGATCTGGCGCACACACCCAGCTGGTGCTGACAGCCTGTGCGGGGCGAGCGGAAAGGTGTGCGTGTGCACATACGTGTCTGTGCATGTGTTTGCGAGTGGGCATGTGTCACGTGTATGTGTGTGCCCAGCATGCATGTGCGTACATGCATTTGTGTGTGCAGCATGTGTGTGCATGAGTGAGTGCGTGTGTGTGATGTCAGCGGGAGGGACAAGGCACTACCTGTGCGTCAACCACCTTCTGTCGCTCTGTCTTCCGCAGGAGACTCGGGTGACAAAGGACAGAAAGGCACTGTGGGTCGCCACGGAAAGATTGGTCCCATCGGTTCTAAAGGTACCCCCATGCGTCCTGCCTCCCCTTGCCGCCCGGGGGGTCCCCGTCCCGGGTCCTTGCCCGCTGCCTGTCATTTCCCAGCCCTGGTGTTGACGGAGGAGATGGAGGAGCCCCCTGGGAGGAGACTGTCCGGCTCAGTCCCTCCCTCCCGGGAGACTGTCCGGCTCAGTCCCTGCCCCTGAATCCACGGGAGGAGTGGTCGCTGGCCCCGAGCTGGCCCCCAGCCGAGACTCGGGGTTTCCCGGGGAGGAGGAAGATAACGCTTCCGGAATGTCAGGTGCTGTAGGGTGAATGCTCACCGTCTGGTTTTGGAGAAGCTAGGAGGCTGTGTGGCCGGATTTTGTCCGAGAGACACGGAGGGGCAGGTGGCTGTGCGGAGTGTCCCACGCAGCAGGTGGCGGGAGCCCGGGTCTGGGGTGGCCACATGTGCCCGGGCCACCTCGCTGCCTCTGGGGGCAGGGCCAGGAGGACCGGTCTCCGCAGGAAGGGGAGGTCCCTTCCGTCCTGTTGGTTAGATGACCCCCGAGGTCCCCTAGGCTCCAGGGCCACATGTTCTGCCTGCATCTCCCCGCTGTGAGGAGGGGCCCGGGCAGAACTGGCATCGGGTTTAGTGGCCGCTTGCTCGTGGTGTCAGGACTCGTGGCGTGATGTCTGACGTGTGTTCCCCGATGGCCCGGGGTGTCCCAGAGCGTGTGTGCAGAGGACAGTCAGTCATCTGGCCTCTGAGGTCCCGCAGGAGGGGCCTGCTCCGCCTTGCACATGGGGCATGAGGGTTGGGGTCCACCAAATGTCGCTCCCTGTGGATCGGGGGACCCGGGGCGTCCCCACGTGAGGGACGTGACAGGTCATCCTTGTGAACTTGTGAAACATGTCCGACCTCTACTTGGCGACTTTGACCTTGCTTTCCTTTTTTAGGTGAAAAAGGGGATTCTGGCGATGCAGGGCCCCCCGGCCCCAACGGAGACCCAGGTATTGCTCAGAGGGTCCCAGGCGCCTAGAACGCATGTTAAAATTGAGATTCTGAAAACCCGTGACTCCTCCCTAAAGCTGCCCCCGGCTGGGAAGCGGGCGGTGGCTGGCGTGGGCTCCCCTCATCCGCCCCGCCTTCGGCTCTTGGGCTGCTCTGCTCCTTGCAGCTCAGCGCGGCGCCGCCTCCCACTGAGTCCCCGAGACAGGGACCCAGTGTCCCCAACACTCAGTCACTGCGTCCCGGTCCCGCCCCGCCCCCATCCCCAGCGTTTTGTCTACGCTCCACCTCCACGGTGGCCGCCCTGGGCCAAGCCCCGAGGGCCCCCCGGGGTCTGCTGAGTGACACCTCTGCGCTGGGGAGCAGCCCCTCCTGTCCTGAGCCCCGCCCCCGAGTCCTCCTCCTGAGCCCCGCCTCGCCCCGCAGGCCTCCCGTGTGAGTGCAGCCAGCTGCGGAAGGCCATCGGGGAGATGGACAACCAGGTCACCCAGCTGACGACCGAGCTGAAATTCATCAAGAACGGTAGGTTCTTGTCGGTGCCTTCTCTGCCCCGGGCCACGCCTCCCCCCCGACCCCCCGCCGACCCCCAGAACCCAGGGAGAACCAGGCCCGCGGTGGCCGGCGCAGGCGTGAGGTCCGCCACGGCGCATGCGCGCGCGCGCACTGGGTCCGCTGCAGAAACGCCGGCGCTCACTTCCCCGCACTGCCCCACCCCCACCCCCACCCCCCACCCCCCGCAGCCGTCGCCGGTGTGCGCGAGACCGAGGGCAAGATCTACCTGCTGGTCAAGGAGGAGAGGACGTACGTGGACGCGCAGCGGTCCTGCCAGGGCCGAGGCGGCACGCTGGCCATGCCCAAGGACGAGGCCGCCAACGGCCTCATGGCCGCCTACGTCACGCAGGCGGGCCTGTCCCGCGTCTTCATCGGCGTCAACGACCTGGACCGCGAGGGCAGCTTCGTGTACGCCGACCGCTCCCCCACGCAGACCTTCCACAAGTGGCGCGGCGGCGAGCCCAACAACGCCTACGACGAGGAGGACTGCGTGGAGCTGGTGGCCGAGGGCGGCTGGAACGACGTGGCCTGCCACACCACCCTGCCCTTCCTGTGCGAGTTCGACAAGGAGCACGTGTGAGCGCGGCCGGCCCCTCGGGGCTCCCTGCGCGGAGGGCCCTCGTGGCGTGGCTGGTCTGGCCCAGGGCGCCCGCCGAGGAGGAAGGAGGGGCTCCCGGGTGGCTCCTGGGGAGCGGGGAAGGCTCCCCACTCGTGTCGCAGTCGGGATGCTCGCTGTGCCGCGCCGCCGCTCGGGATCGCCCCTGCCCCCGCCCCAGCTCGGAAGTAGCCCTCGGATGCCGCCGTGGCCACGCCCGGCAGTGGCGGCCCTTCCCCGTGATTTCTGCGTGGAGAAGAGCCCGCTTCACCGCGACCGATGTTTCTGTGAATCAGAGCAAAGCGCACGATCCCTCTCCCCGGCAGCCGGTAGGGGCGGCTCCGCTTCGCTGCAAACCCGAGTGCGGGAGAAAGAGAAATAAATGCTCCAGCCCTAACCGTTGGGTGTGTGCTGTTTTACTGTCTCCGTGTCTCCGAGAGCTGTGTGTGTTGTCTGTTGTGTCATAAATTCTCCCCAACCGTGGCGGCCTTTGACAAAGATATGCACGTCCCCGAGTTCCTGTGTCCAGGGCCTGGCTCAGGCCTGGTGGGGCCCCGCGGGCATGGGCAGGACCCCATCCCTGCATGCGGCCTCCCCACCTCTGAGCCGAGAAGGGGGGCCAGAGCCAACCTGCGGGCAAGCCAGCCACGGCCGCCCGAAACCTCGCCATGGGGACCGCCGGCAGGCCCAGCCTGCGCACTGGGGGCGGGGACGCCATGGGGATGTGCACCCCGGAGGAGGGGCCCTGGGAGCCATTCCGGAAGCTGCCGCCGTCACCATGTTCGGTGCACTGGACACAGTCCCTAGTAAAAAGTAAAAAGTATACTTTTTTTAAAAAAAAGTAAGAAGCATAAAGCACCACACATTTCAAAGATGACACACGCACGTACGTGTGAGGGAAACCAGGGGGGCTGGGGGCCTGGAGGGGGCTGCAGGTCTGCGTGAGGCCCTGACCCCGCCCTGGCTGCCGGTGGTGGAGTCTGGACGTCTGGGCCCCAGGCTGCGCCGGAGGAAAGGGCCCCTCCTCTGTGCTGCCTGCGGAGCGCAGCCGTCACCCCGGACCTCTTCGCCGGCCTGGCAGGGCCCAGGAGCAGCAGGGCAGGGCGGGCACTCTCTGGCTGCTGCTGTTACTGCAGGAACCGGGGTGGGGGCCCCAGACTCCTGGTGGACCCCCACTGGTACCCCTGGGCCAGGTTCCGTCTGTGGGGACCCAGAGAGGTGAGGGAGCGAGTAGAACAGCTAAGCCCAGTGTGGCCGGGGCCCGGAAGGAGCAGGGCAGGGTGGGGCCCAGCCTTGGCACCCACAGCCTCCCTGTCTGTCTGCTGGGCAGGCGCCCCCAGTCCCAGAGCGGCCCCCCGCCTGTGTGCTGGGTGGCTCTCAGGGTGAGCCCCTCCGAGGGCAGGCTTCTCTCCTGCTGGGTGCCCCCCCCCCCGCCCCCCTGCTTCCAGTGGAATCAGGGGTCCGCCTCCTGCCCCTCCTCCTCCAGGCTTGTCTGCAGAGCTGAGCTAACAGCCAGCACCAGAAGCCACCCTGCCCTCGGGTGTCCTGGGCTCCACGCGGGTGTGGGGCAGGATCGTGGTACAGAGCAAAGTGACGGAGGAGCGGCAGCTGGCCTGGGGTCAGAATGAACCCCCAGCTCTGCGGGAGGGCAGAGTCCTCCGTGCCTGGTGGGAGGGGACTGGCAGAGGGTGGCGTTCCTCAGGTGCTGGGCTGACACCGCCAGGCTGCAGAGGCAACGGTGCATCTGCGCGGCCACACTGCCATCCAGTGGCGGGAGGGGGCGGTGCCAGCAGCTGCAGAGACGCTGGGGTCAGGGTGGTGGGTGTGTGTGTGTGAGGGAGGAGGAGAGGGAGGGGGAGGGAGGAAGGGAGGGAGGGGGAGGGAGGGGAAGGGGGAGGGAGGGGAAGGGGGGGAGGGAGGGAGAGGGGGGGGGGCTCGGAGGGGCAGGGTCTGTCAGAGATGAGGGAGGTGCAGCAGGAACAAAGGGGCGGTGGGGCCGCGGCCTTCAGCACGTCCTTGGGCAGCACCCCCTGCGGTTTCTCATTCTCAGTCCAGCGTCCTGGGGTGGCAGCATCCACACTGACCAAGAGACTGGTCAGGGAAAGGACGGGTCATTCTGACCACTGGCAGGAAAGACCAGGTCGAGGAGGGGGCGTGTGGCTACTCTCGGAGGCACACGGCTCTGTCTGGGAGGTGGGGGCAGGTGCGGGGCCGCAGGTGGACTGCGGTCCTGGGAGAGGCCCTGGGGTCCCCCCCGCCCCTGTCCCTGCAGCCCTGGTGGTCCGGGCGGTCCCGAATCCCAGGCTCCGGCGCTGCAGTGCTCTCGCTGCAGGCCCGTGCTGGGTGGCTGCTGCTGGTCACGGGCTGGCACAGCACACCCACCCTGTGTCCTGTGGTGGGGAGGGGGCAGGTGAGGGCTGAGGGGTGGCTTGTGGGCTCAGGGGACGTCTGTGGCTTGCCCGGGGCCACCCTTGCACCCTGCAGGACCACGGGCTCTGCCCCGGCGCTGCCTGGAGCCGTGGAGGCCGGGAGCTCAGCCCGCCAGACAGAGGGTCTAAACTTCGGATCGGACTGACCCATGCCTCTCCGTTTGGGTGTGACCGTGGGCAGTGTGGCGTGGGGTCCTGCTCCCCGGGTGTGGTCGGGGGGCCGGCACGCTGACCTCCCTCCGGGCCCGGGGGCATGTGGGCGTGGAGGGCCAGCCCTCTGGTTGCACTGGAGGCTCAGGGGCCAGCTGCGGCGTGCAGGTGAGGGCCGGGGCAGTCCCTCTGCCCCCGGGCAGCCGGGCACTGTCCTCTGCGCCGCGGCCTGGACTCCGTAACGACGCGGACAGAAGTGGGCCCTGCAGCTGCAGTCGTGAGACTGAGCGGAGGCAGCGAGCGAAGGGCGTGTTAGTTAACTGCCGGCCGGGGGAAGGTCACCGGTGACGGGAATCATGGGGACAGAAACACAGGTTGATGTGGTGGGATGCAGTCCAGGGCAGCGCAGGATGGGGTTCGTGTCCTTCGGAATCTCATCCAGAGGAGGAGGCCTGTGTCCACGGGGACCCAGGAGCCCGGGGCCTCTGGGGAGGGCGCAGGAGGTGCCCGGGGACCCGGCCTTTCCGGGCTCACCAGGGAGGGGAGGGCGGGCCAGCCCCGGAGAGGAGGGCCCAGGAAGGACACGGGGAGGGCAGGGCTGCCCTGGGTCCCAGAGGTGCGCTCGCTGGGGCCCCCTGGGGCGCCGGGTTCCCGCTGTGGTTTGGCCAGAGAGGACCCCGGAGGCCTTGGTGGCTTCCCGACCTCAGGGGCCTGTTCGTCAGCTGTGAGCCGGACCCGCACCGCCGGCACCGGTGCTGTCAGGGGGCGCTCAGCTCCCGCCTCCCCGGGCTCTGAGGGTGGGTCATGCAGTTTTTGTCCCACGCCACCAGACGCAGCTCGCACTGGGCAAGGTGTGCTTCCTCCCCCAGGTCAGGAAGCGCAGCTACACCCCACCTGACTGGTCACGGGCACTGGCTTCCTGTCCCTTAGACCGTCAGAGAAAAAGTGACAGCCGCCAACACAACGGTAGCTGTCCGGTGTGATGCCGCCTTGAACCAAAAATAATAGAGTCGCAGCTCATTGGTCACGTCACAGGACAAGGTTGTGTCGGATTGGTTAATTCTTGGTACCGGCCATCCTTCTATACGAGTCTAGGCACTTGAGTTTTTACAAAAGTCACTTTGGAGAAAAAAGGGTAGGTAATGAGTATTATTACTATTCTTTTTGTAAATAGATCAAAATTATACTTATTTATTTATTGTTAGAGCAGCAAAAACATTTTTTGGTGTGCTGTCGGGTTTTAGCACTTAGTTCACGTGCACCCTGAGATGGGAATGGCCGAAAACCGCTGCTCCACGGGGTCCCAGAGCCCGCCTCCCGGAGCGGGTGGGAGCCCGGCCTGGGGAGCCCTCTGGAGAGGAGACTGGCTCGGAGTCGCAGCTGGACGGGGCAGGGGGCTCAGCCCCCGGGCTGGGGACCCAGGGTGCACCTTGGCGACGGGACCAGGCCAGCTCCCTCCACACAGGGGTGCACAGGGGTCTTGTAGAGTCTGTGGGGCTTCTCCAGGGAGGGGCGGCCCCGCCCCAGCCCCGCCCCCAGCCCTTGTGACATCACACTGGCCCGGCCACTCTGGCCCCTCTCCTCACAGGGTCAGGCCCTGCACCTTCCCTCCCGGCGGGCACCGCACGCCATGAGACCCTGGCTGGCTTCTGAGGAGCAGGAAATCCAATCCTAGACCTGGACTTTGGACTCCTGGGTGAGCCGTTCGTAAGGAACTCGCTGTGTCACCGTGGTCACTGCCCGAAGAACAGGGTGACGGCAGAGACCACTGTGATAGCGATGAGCGTGGGGCACCTCTGGAGGACGGGAGGGGGGGCAGGTCACAGGAGACGTGACTGGATGCTGTCACGGTCCCCGGGGAGGGCCAGCGCGGGGAACAGTGTGTCCAGGGCCGGGGACAGCCCCGGCGTGAGACGAGAGGCTGTGGGCTCGGGGTCCCGCTCTGCTTGGGCCGAAGTCCGGTGACCTTGGGCCTTAGGCACCACCAGGAAACTGAGCTCGCAGGTGAAACACACCTGTACCCAAACGAAGAGGCACCCATCCGAGCAAAACCCGAACGTGTACCGGTGCTGCGGACCGCAGCAGAGCGGGCACGCAGTGGCTCCTGGGGCGTGGGGCTCCCGCCCCAAAGTGGACTCACTTCCGCCAGTGAGAGCAGCTGTGTCCACGCGCCAGGCCGCGCTGGGAAGAGCAGCCAGGAGCCCGGAGAACTTCCGCCTGGGTCGGAGGTGGGCTCCAGGGAGCGCGGGTGGGCCGGAGCGAGCTTGCGAAAGCAGGTTCGCCCACGTTCACCCAGCGATCCATCACCCAGCGACTGCCCCCTGATCGCCCAGGCGCACGAGGCGCGAAGTCCCCCTGCCGCGGGCCCTGGGCGCCGCTGCGGCGTGGGCCGTAGAGGGCACTGCTCTGACTCCCTCCCGTTCCCATGTTTGGGCAGAGTCGCCTTTTAGTTCCGCCCGGAGGGGCTGTGCACCCGCCACACCTGCCCAGCCCCCTCTGGGCTGCTCGCCCAGCTCAGCCTGGAGTTTGGGGGCCTGCAGGAGGCCCCGCCCCCCGCCCCACACGGCCCGAGGGTGACCGCGCCTGCCTCTCGCCCCCCAGGCAGCATGGCGGACTCGCCCAGGGAGGGAAAGCTGTCCCGGTCCCCCGACTTCGTCCAGCTGATCGACATGGCGTCTGAGTCCGTGGGCGGAAAGGTGAGTGGGGGTCTGGTGGCAGGAGCCAGCCGCAGTGACGCCACGCGAGGGGCCCAGGTCCCCAGCGCAGGGACAGCATCGAGGGCAGCGGGGGTCCGGCAGAAGGGCCCGCCCGGCCGCGG